ATGCACGCATGGGAAATTTGCATTTGTAGTGACTGTTTGGGTAGGTATTCTCTAGTGGACCCAACCCACACAGTTAATGTGGGGGAGGAATATACATGTAAATTTGGTTACCGGCTTTAAATGTAAACAATATTTCTGTTCTTTTTTCTTTAGATTTGATGAAATGGGAATTCCATTTGTTGTCTTGCTCAGTGAAAACACACTGAAGACTGGAATGGTTCGGTTAAGGCACCGAGACACAACAGTAATGGTGAGGAAGTAGATGCTACTTATTCCACCAGATGAAGTTGCTTCGAAATTTTAAGGAACTTTATTTTGTGGGTTATCTCCTAGTAGTGCAGGGCACTTTGAATCTCCTAGTAGTGCAGGGCACTTTGAATCTCCTAGTGGTGCTGGGCACTTTGAATCTCCTAGTGGTGTAGGGCACTTTGAATCTCCGAGTGGTGCAGGGCAATTTGAATCTCCACCGAGGCTGGTTCATACCCATGGACTCCTGATTGTGAAATTATGATTTGTGTTCATGTATATGTACATGCTTACTAGTAAATTTAAGTGCGCTTTAGTCACTATCATTTACATGAAGAACAAAGATACTACCCTATCTCCCAAATATTTGACGGTCACAGCTAAAGCTGTCCTCCTTTTCCCCAAAAGTTGATGTATGTGATATTTTTGTTGTTATTTCCAGCAACAACTGCACATCACTGAGGTGAGGGAAACTTTCCAGAACCACCTTGAGGCAAGTTGAGGGGAGGAATGGTATAGCAATGCCACATCTGGATCAACTTCTGTAATGCAACTCACATGCAAGTTACATTATACATGGCATGATTTGCATCGTTCTGTGCATTTTGCGTATAAATAAATTTGCATGGGATTTGTTATTTACTGTGTAATGACTTAATGAGTTAAGCATGTGAGTAGCAAGGGTATGAAGAATCTACATGTATCATTTTGTATATTATGGGATATTTCTGGGTTTTGTTCCGTTTTTGTACCTGTTTCATTGTCAACTTTTCACTGAGCCTAAAACCCTGTTGAAAAAACACTGAAAAAAAACACTGCTATAATCAAAGCCCCTTGAAATCAGGTTTCTTCAAATTACATTCGCATTTATCAAACGAGTAAACTTAACAGTATAAACATACAAAACAGGTCAGGATTGAAGTTTTTGGTTTTTATGAGTTAACATCTAATTCTAGGTTAAATTCTAAATTCCTTAAGTATTTAGAAAAGGTTTTTCAGTACTTCAGTTAATTTCAACGGGGTCCTCATTTGAGCATTCAAAATTTGTGTAAACCAAAGTACATGTATGTTGAAGCCTCCGTGATACAGATTGTCTGAATAAAAGTTACTGAGCAGAGAGGGACCTATGGTAATTTTATGATGTCGGTTTCACTCAGAGGTTAACTTTAAATGTTTAGTGTGGCAAACTTGAATAATTTTGATGACAATCTTAATGGCAATTTGGTTCCTGCTAGTCAATGACAACACTGTTACCAAGTTGGAAATAATTTAGCAAAATATCCGCGAAAGAACGAAGGCGTTCTTGTCCTACTGCTTGTTATATTTGGTGTAATAATCATTCTTTAGTGGTCGTGTTGCCGTGCAAAGATGGCGTCATATATTAAGCGTAAAAGACCTGAAAATTTTCCAAATCTGGCAATCGTGGTGGCATCTAAAAGGGCAGTTGTTCCTCTACCCATAGATGGAGATTCATATCCATATTGGCCCGATTTAGGAGAATATCCTCGAAAGAACGCAGGCAGTCCTTTTCTACTGCTTTCAATTTCTTATGCAATAATTATTCTTTAATGGTCGTGTTCCCACGTAAAGTGCTTCATATAATGCAGTGTAAAAGACCCGATACTTGTCCAAACCTGGCAATCGTGGTGGCATCAGAAAGGGCGAATGTTTCTTTATCTGTTGATGGAGTTTCATATCAATATTGGCCTGATTTATGAAAATAGCATCGAAAGAAAGCAGGACGTTTTTGTCCTACTGCTTTCTATTTCTTGTGTAATAATTATTCTTTAATGGTCGTGTTGCCGCGAAAAGATGGCTTCATATATTACAGCGTAAAAGACCTGATACTTGTCCAAACCTGGCAACCGCGGTGGCATCGGAAAGGGCGAATGTTCCCCCATCTGTCCATGTAAGTTTCATATCAATATTTTCATGATTTAGCAAAATATTCGCAAAAGAACGCAGGCGTTCTTGTCCTACTTCTTGTTATATTTGGTGTAATAATTATTCTTTAATGGTCATGCTCCCACGCAAAGATTGCTTCATATAGGCCTATTGCAGCGTAAACGATGTAAAAAATTGTCCAAATCTGGCAATCGTAGTGGTGTCTGAAAGGGCGAATGTTCCCCTACCAATTTCCCTACGGATTTAGGGAAATAGCCTCGAAAGAAGGAATGAGGTTCTTCTCCTACTGCTTTTTATATTTAGTGTAATAATTATTCTTTAATGGTCGTGTTGCCGCCCGAAGACGGCTTCATATGTTGTAGCGTAAACAACCTGAAAATTGTCTAAATCTGGCAATCGTGATGGCATCGGAAAGGGCGAATAATTCTCTATCCAACGATGGAAGTTTCACATCCATATTGGCCTGATTTAAGAAAATGTACCCGAAAGAAGGCAGGTCGTTCTTGTCCTACTGCTTTCTATTTCTTGTGAAATTATTCTCATATCTACGCACTATTGTTCGTGTTGCCGCGCAAAGGTGGTTTCATATACGGCAGCGTAAAGACGTAAAAATTGTCCAAATCTGCCACTCGTTGTGGCATCTGAAACGGCGAATGTTCCTCACTCGATTGATGGAAGTAAAATATCCATTTTGGCCTGATTAAGAAAATATCCTCATTCTTCTCATGTTTACGCATTATTGGTCGTGATATTAAGCCATCTTAGCGCGGGGACACGACCAATAATGCGTAGACATGAGAAGAATTGCGCAAGAAATAGAAAGCAGTAGGAAAAGAACGGCCTGCCTTCTATCGAAGATATTTTCTGAAATCCAGCCAATATGGATATGAAACTTACATGGATAAGTTGATGAACATTCGCTCTTTCAGATGCGATCGCCAGATTGGGACAATTTTGAGGTTTTTTACGCTGCAATATATGAGGCCATTTTTTCGCGGGAACACGACCAAAAATGCAGACCTGAGGAGAACTCTACAAAAAACAGCAAGCATAGGACAAGAACGTGTCTTCTTTCGATAATGTTTTCCAAAATCAGGCGAATATGGATATGATACTTCCATCAATGGATAGAGGAACATTCGCTTTTTCAGATGCCACCTCAACTGCCAGATCTGGACAATTTTCAGGTCTCCAGACTTTGACAGGTTGAGCGTACAAGATGCTGCAAAACTAACCACATTGGCGGCAGGCTCAAAAGCAACCCAACAGTGGTTGGTGACGTAGGGTGTGATCCTGGATAGCATTACACCAAAGCTTAGACATAATACCAAAAATTAGAAACTCCATTTAAAACCCCTTATTTTAAAAAAACGATTAAAGGTTATGGCAGGACGGTTTGACCCAGAGGAAATGCCTCTTTTAAACCGATGACAAAGAGAACAAGACCAGCAAGACTCGCAAGACTGGCAAGAACAATAAGATAGACTGGGACGATGTCTCAGATCCCCAGCACCAAGCAACGACGTTTGCAGAAGGTGAAAGAACGCAAGGAGAAAAATAGATATACCATTAAGCGATATCGCAGAAAATGTAGAAATTTTAAATACTAATTCAGTATTAAGTAACTGTTATAAATTCTTTACAACTCTCGGTAGAGAAGGCGTACCATAAACGCATATGTTTCAGATATGACAGAAATAAAGCGCTTTATTACAAAGCTGTTGGTAGCTTCACAGAAGTATTACTCACAGACAGAAGAACCCCCCCCCAAAAAAAAAGTAAAAATGGATACGATCAATGCATTAGATGCTGGTTACAACGGTAGAGATTTTATTTAAATAAATGAATTATGTTTTCGAGACTATGGACTAACAGTAAAACAAAAGCAGAAAGTCTAAATGACATAAAACCAGAAAATATAGAGTGACAAGAATTTCCCCAGAGCCAATCAAGTAAGCGAAACTTTTGAAAACCCTACCCAAGAAAGAGAGGTTGAAACCAAAACCGAAGAGTTAAAATATCAGAGAACTCAGGGGTTTAGACAAAGCGTTAAGAAAATAAAAGAAACTCTTACATTTAACCAGTCTAAAATTACTGAATTAAAACTGAGATAACACAATTCAAAAACAAACCTCACAGGTGCAACTAAGCTGAAGAAAGAGAAGGGAAGGCTTGGCAACATTCACTTTTTGGGGGGTGAGTTTGTTTTGGGCGGATAATTAAAAAATTCATTGGTTAACCTACTAAAAATTGAAAATCAAATGAAATCTGAAGGACCCAACAACACTTTTTTGTTTGAGAGGCCTCAGGGACTTCAGTTGCCTGCCATGGGCTCCAAACTTGTTTGATTTGACACTATTTTCAATGGAGCTTGAATTGGTTCAGTGCACCCCAAAGGGCGCTTTGCGGACCCCAAGNAAGAAGTATTACAGACAGAAGAACCCCCCCCCCAAAAAAATGTAAAAATGGATACGATCAATGCATTAGATGCTGGTTACAACGGTAGAGATTTTATTTAAATAAATGAATTATGTTTTCGAGACTATGGACTAACAGTAAAACAAAAGCAGAAAGTCTAAATGACGTAAAACCAGAAAATATAGAGTGACAAGAATTTCCCCAGAGCCGCCAATCAAGTAAGCGAAACTTTTGAAAACCCTACCCAAGAAAGAGAGGTTGAAACCAAAACCGAAGAGTTAAAATATCAGAGAACTCAGGGGTTTAGACAAAGCGTTAAGAAAATAAAAGAAACTCTTACATTTAACCAGTCTAAAATTACCGAATTAAAACTGAGATAACACAACTCAAAAACAAACCTCACAGGTGCAACTAAGCTGAAGAAAGAGAAAATCCTTTACGTTATTTAAAAGATCAGTTAGAGGCGGCAAAAGCCGTAAAAGATGCGTTAAAATATCGCTTAAAAATTCAGAGCACTCGAATTAAAGAATCGGTCGGTTATATTTTAAAATCAGACAGTGAAAAAATACGCTTTTTCAATAAGTGACAAAATACGTACGTTGTTTAGAGAACAAGGTGTTGTTATAGTCAGCGTGTTGGCAGCTTTCAGTTTAGCGATAACTACCATCGTGAATTCTATCGTAGCTGCTGCCAGAGGCATTGGGGCTCTAATACCAGCTCCTGCAGGCATTAAAAACTGGATCCAGAGGCAGCTGCAGAGCTTGACAAACGTGCTTTAAAAACTTGGTTTGTCGACGTTGGGGGCTTTCAAGGAGTAACTGGGAGCCTGTTGAGTTGGTTGTTAAACGTTGCAGGTAAGACGGTAGGTTGGTTGGCTTAGCATGTGTGGGCTTTGTTTTTAGGTGTGGGCGCTTTAGTGGTTGGTTGACTGAGCAAAAAAGATAAAAAGACCCCCATTTTTGATTTAATTTTAAAAAACGAAAGACCCCATACAAATTCCTGCGTTTGTGAAACCACAAAAGAAAGACTGCACCAATAGCTATCGCCCCGATAGTAAGAGGTAATTTTTCTTCATTGTGAATCATAAATGTGAACTTCTACAGGCGTTAGAGCGGTTGGCGCCGGAGATGTTGGCGGCTGGGTTGGGTTTTCTTGGTTGTTTAAACTCTCATCAAAATGTGCTTCTGTTCCTGGAGTTTCAAAATTACTGTCTTTTTCTGGCTCTGGGACGCTTGGCGAGGTTAGCGTCGGTTGATACCCCGTTTGCATGTTAGAGGTCGCGATTTGTAAGTTGCTGTATCCCTCAAACGTTCCCATTCTCAAGTCCATGTCTGAAGGCACCAAATACAAGCCTAGTCTCACCAAAAAATTCAAACGAGTTTTGGCGTACTGTGGAGGATCTTGAAACTGGTTAATCGATTGTTCGAGGTTGGGTTCCGAGTTAATGAGAGACTCCACAATATTCAGAAACCGTTGCTGAGCGTCTAACCCCAACCCCATGCCTTGGGCCAACACACAGTACGCCATCGCACCCTACATTATGTGGACTTCTTTTGTGTAGAGGTCCACAGTATGTATGGCACGCCTGCACACTGGTTTTTGTTTTCGCTTGTGCTCCTAACAAAGCGTACACATAAGCCCATGTGGATTCGTTGACCTTTATGACCACTATGTCGGTAAGCCCCAAAGGGTGCAGTGTCCCAATTCTAGGAAAATTCTCCGCCAGGCGGAGGCGCACAAAAAGCACACCCCAGAGATTGTTTCAAAAAGAGGGGTCTGTTTGGGCCAAGAAATGGTGGGATTNGAAGAG